CACACACACACACACACACACACACCAACCCCAAAGTGATGGGAAAGTCAAAAGGTTTTTTAAGCCATTTCTGATGAGATCACTTAGGCCCCATTCACACCGAGCGGAAAATCCCGCGATTTCTGCTGCGATAAATCGCGCATTTTTGCAGCGAGAAGTCGCCGGCCAATGTTATTCGATGGAGCTGTTCTAATGTACAGCTCCATGTCGCCCGTCACTTCAGCAGGACCCGTTTTCCCGCAGATGTCGCGCGGTTTTTCTATTTTTTAATGCAGCCCGACGGTGAAGGTCGCTGGAACGTCGCCCCGAACAGTTGCGCTATCCCGGCCGCGCAGATCTGCTTGTAAGGTATGTCGCTTAGTGCAAATGGGGCCTTACAGTGTAATTTCCTGCAGAGTCAGCTGGTCCACCGTCGGCTCCCCAGGCACTGCTGTTAGGGTTGCCACCTGTGCAGGATTCACCCGGACAGTCCGGGTTTTGAATGCTGTGTCCGGGTTTCATGGCAGATGAGACCCGGACACAAGATGTCAGGCAGACAGGGCAACCAATATTAAGATAGGGGCTACTGGCCCCCCACTAAAAATAGTCTCGACTGTGATATTTACATATGAATGGGCGGCGCTATTTACATATGAATAAGCCGCCACTAATTCTCCCTCAAGAAATTCTGTGCGTCGCTCGAGTGTTCGGGTTTTGCTGGAAGAAAAGGTGGCAACCCTATCTGCTGTCCCCCGTGCGAGGCCGGGACCACCACGGTGGGTCTCCTCGCAATGATCGGAGAGAGATCAGCAAGCTTCTAGCCGCTGATCTCTTCTCCGATCACTGGACCCGGAAGTGCTGTGCATTACATCACTTCCGGTGTCACTGTACACAGTCTCCGGCTCTTAGAGCCAGGACAAGAAGCTGGGGGAAGCAGATCTCACCTTCCTAATCTTCTTTGGGGTCCCTAGGAGACATTAGGGACCCCTGATGTCTCCATAAAGAGCACCTGTCACACCCTGCTATTACATAGGGCGTTTGTTAGCTGATTCGCTTCAAATCAGCTGATGGAGGGTTGCCAGGCGGAAGGGTGCCGACAGGCTCACCTACGCTGCCAGTGGCGGGCCTAAGAAACAATGGGGATAGGTGCAAGATTTTCCCTTGGGTCACACCCCCCCCCTCGCACCCCAGTGGGCTTGGTGGGAGTGATCAGCGCTGGGTAGATCTGTGTACAGGAGGAAGAGAAGAAGGAGAGCAGCGGGAGGAGGGAGACTCCGGGCCAGCAAAATGGCAGATCAGTCGCCCTCCTCTGGCTGGTATTACTCATATATAAGGGGAGATTCTATTGGACGAGCAGCAGTACTGATTTAACCCCTCCAGAGGCCCATCAGACCATGCAACCATGCCCCCTCCCCATGTCCCCAATGGGGAGGGGGGGCGGGACCAGATCTCAACTAGAAAAATCTCCAAAATAAGGTGCAAACTGTCATTTGTAAGGAGCACTGGTGACCTGGCTCCTGGGATTCCTCGGCTCCTGTATCCTCCTCATGACCAGTCTCCTTTAAAGCAGAACTCCAATCAAGAATAGCACAATAAAAAATGAATAGACCATTAAAAGATAAGCTAAAAAAAAACAAACAAACAGTTGTTGCAGTAAAAATTCCCTTTTAATCCGGAGACTTCCCCCCCCCCCGCAGTATTTATTTCTGCCACTAGATGATGTCCTCAGTCTGATGGCCAGCACTTTCTCTAAGCCCAGATGATCCCGGACAAGCCCCCAACTTATGACTGGACAGTGAAAGGAGAAGCAGCACAGTGATGAGCTCATCTCTCTATCACTCTGCACTCTCTTCTATCAGCATGCTTCAGGTCAGCATATGAAATGACTGGCTCCGTGTGCTGCTTCTCCCTCTCACACTTCAGCCCTGCTTTACAGAGACTGCCATAAGCTTTTACCCGGTGAGATTCCGATACTTACACTGCTTTTGTTTAATAAATACATTTAATCGTGTATTAGTGAATACAGAGCAGCATTGATTTTTCTCTTTTCTATCTGCCCGGAGTTCAGCTACAAAGAACAATTCTCCGCACACAGCCGACACCATCTTCCAGATCATGATTTTAATGAACACAGATGTCCCCTTAGTTCTCAACAGATACTCAGTTTCCGGGAATGGTAGATCTAATAACTGGCAGACGGGATTTGTCACTCAGCCAATTATATTCATCCAGAGAGCAGACTCACGGGGGGGGGGGGGATACATTAGAGTCGGAGTCTGAATCTATGGCCGATATTTTACTGTAAATAATACAGGGATTACACAACCACGTAAATCCTGGTGGCTGTACAGTTCTTGGTTGTGTTCACAAATGTCTGACACAGATCAGCCCATGGTGCAGCCTCTCACCTTGTAAACTGCTACAGTGCAACAATGTTGCAGTCCGATCTTGGGGGAGGGGAGACTGAGAAAATGCTTCCTCCTGGCTGCAGCAGACTGATCACTGGGGGAGGGGAGACTGAGGAAATGCTTCGTCCTGCCTGCAGCAGACTGATCACTGGGGGAGGGTTAAAATAAGAATAATAAATGTAATAAAGACAGAAAGGTTTGACCTAAAAATATCATTAGTATGTTGATGAGAGGAAAAGAAGTATCAGGGAAGCAGATTAAACTTCATTTTTAAGCCCTGATATTGGATAAAACACATACCAGGTGGAGTCCGGCATGTCTGGAGATGTAATTTAATCACGGGTGGTGCAGCGTCTAGTGGTGACTGTGCTTTGCTCTTCCCCTCTCTACTTTTTTCCATAGATACCTTGAAAATGTCAGAGTTGCTTTTTTCAGTGTCACAGAAGATACAAAGTGTACGGACCCCGAGCAAGAGTCAGGGGTCACATTAAAGTGACAAGAAACCCGGGGGGGGGGGAAATTTAACAAAACTGGAGCAGACAGAATCTGAAGGCAGTTGTGCATGGCAACCAATCAGCTTCTCTCTTCAGTTTGCTCAGATAATATTTGAAAATGAAAGAGAGAAGCTGATTGGTTGCCGAGCAAATCTGCTCCAGTTTTGATAATTCCCCCCAATGACATCACTTCATCCATCTTTATACCCCTCAATGAGCGGGTCCCCTGTGACAACCTTGCACTCTGCAGGGGTGACTACACTCAGACGGAGTGCGTTCACACCGGAGGGGCCCAGGGACACGCTATAAAACATGAAGATGAAGCGATGGATTTTATTGCCGGCAATAAACTAAGTCAAAGCTTTATTGCTCCCACTGCAGAGCAGCCCGAGGATTCTAGAACACAACCGTGAGAAGACTCCGGAACCCTCAAAAGGTGAACTGCGGCCCTCCCTACCAACCATCGGGTCTTCAAATGTAATGTAACTTTACGTTGCGAGTGCTGCCTTCCGTCTGCCCGTCACTTCCACCAACTTCCAGGATTCCCAGTGTGCGTCTCTTTCCCTGCTGCTTGGTGTGATGCAATCTCCATTTCTAAAGACTATATATCCCATCATGCATTGCTTCCAGTAAGCTATGATAAGGTTACATTGTTCAAGGCTACGTATCCCATCATGCAATGCTTCCAGCAAGCAATAAGGTTACATTGTTCAAGGCTACATATCCCATCATGCATTGCTTCCAGCACAATGAGGAACCTGGCTTTGGGGCAGCAGAGAGAGTAAATCCGTCCCTGCCTGCGTGGCCCCAAAACGTTGGCTGTATGACGCATGTGACAATTTCATTAAAAAAGTGCTTTACTTCTTGCACATATCATAGAGTGCTGGTGACTTCTATTATGGTGACACCAGGAAGTGCAAATTCACCGGGGTGAGTGAAATGGTGTCAGTGCATTGAGGAAGTCCATCCCAGGGGCATCTTCAGTTTACAAACTTCTAGATGGATCTGGTTATTAGGAGGGGGAGAGAACTTGTGGAAATTCAATATAGAAATACAGATTTATTGTTCGTTTTTGACCAGAGATACCCTTAAATGTAGCCCTGTGATCACCAATACATCCTTAAATGCGTTTTCTTTAAATGCAAGCAGTGCAAGTTCAGTGCATAACTTGATACCAACCTCCTGAAGCCCCGTTACAGCAGCGTTCTGACTGTATAGTACAAGGAGCCAATGTCATGCTGATAGGAGGAGAGCACAGAGTGATAGAGAGATGAGCTCATCACTGTGCTGCCTCTCCTTTCACTGTCCAGTCATAAGTTGGGGGCTTGTCCGGGATGATCTGGGCTTAGAGAAAGCAATGGCCATCAGACTGAGGACATCTAGTGGCAGAAATAAACAGTGCGGGGGAAGTTGTTGGATTAAAAGTGAATTTTGCAGCAAAAGCTGTTTTTTGTTTTTTTTCTAGTTTATTTTTAATGGTCTATTTATTTTTATCTTGCTATTATAGGTTGGAGTTCTGCTTTAAAGGAGACCGGTCATGAGGAGGATACAGGAGCCGAGGAATCCCAGGAGCCAGGTCGCCAGTGCTCCTTACAAATGACAGTTGGCACCTAACTTTGGAGGTGTTTCTAGTTGAGAAGCGCCGTTACAGCAGAGTTCTGACTGAATAGTACAAGGAGCCACTGTCATGCTGATAGGAGGAGAGCACAGAGTGATAGAGCGATGAGCTCATCATTGTGCTGCCTCTCCTTTCACTGTCCAGTCACAGGCTGGGGGTGAAGACAAGGCCTGTAAGTGTTACTCAACTGCAGCAGAGGCTGTGCTGTGTAAATCTCAGGACTGGGTAGACGGAAATATAAATCCTAACATACAGTATATGTATTCCTATATACATATATGTTACACTGCTTGCATTAAGCCTGAAGGCTCTTGAGAGGAGTACTCAGGCTAGGTGCTGTGATGTTTTTAGGAAGCTACGTACAGCACCCTGCTGGCCCCTCCCACCAGATCTGCCTGCATTGCGTAGAGAAGCACAGAGACCTAGGATTACGATAAAGATATGTAATGACAACAGAAAGTCTTTATTTAAATGCTGATGAGTTGGGAAAAAAGCAGATTAGACTTCAGCTGTGAGATATGCGAGCAGGAAAAGTGATTGGAGACATTTATAATGACGGTTGTAAATAGAAAAGTAAACATCTACGACAAAAGAGGAAGACGCGGCGTTCTATACAGAGCGCTGACGCCGACACTTCCTCTTCTGCATTCCATTATCCAGTCATCAAGGTCAGCCAGTGCAGCTTATGATAACGGCTTTACTGCATGGCTGAGGGAGTGATGAGAACTGATCCCGGCTGCATTAAAGGAGAACTATGAGGGGGGGTGCTTTTCACTCACCTCATAGTTCTAGCCGACCTGTGACAATGAGACTGTCACAGGTCAGCTCAGTAGATCGGGAAGTGAGCGAACACATACCGGCGTTCGCTCACCTCTCGATCCTGTCACGGCTCTCTGCCGTGACAGGGGAGGGGCTGGATTCCCCCCCTCCCCGCTCCGCCAGTGCTGACTGGCGGAACGGACAGGGGAGGGGGCGGGTACAGCTGGCTCTGCCTTTGGATAGGCAGATCCAGCTGTCAGTCACGCAGCTGGGCGGATCGCGGCACAATTGTCGGGATCCGCTTCAGCTGCGGCGTCTCAGTATACAGCTCGCGGTATACTGAGCCTAGGGTGACGGGAGGACGCTAGTTTGTGTCCTCCCGTTACCCTAAGGAGAACTATGGGGAAAAGACTTAACCCCATAGTTCTCCTTTAAGTGCAGTGGCCCCATTCATACCCACCAGTCGTCCCCATATATGCCAGCAATGGCGAACCTTTTTGAGCCCAAACTGGATCACTAAACTAACGTACATGTCTCAAAGTGCCAACCCCGCACTTTGACCCAAATACTGATGATGCATTTTACAAACACACTTCATACCACTGTTTGAACTAATTATGTACTTAAGGCGGGCCTCTGCATTTGTCTGTATGTGCTCTTGGGGGCTGTGCAGCTGACAGGTGGTCCATATGTGCTCTTAGTTGGGCTCTCCAGTTGTCTGTATGGGCTCTTGGGGGCTGTGCAGCTGACAGGTGGTCCATATGTGCTCTTAGGTGGGCTCTCCGGTTGTCTGTATGGGCTCTTGGGGGCTGTGCAGCTTCAAGGCGGTTCATAAATGCTCTTAGGTGGGCTAGATGGGCCCCGCAGTTGTGTGTATGGGTTGAGGGGGGGATGGGCTGTGCAGTGTCCAGGTCATCTAAAAGTGGTGGTCCTTAAGTGGTCTCTAAGGAGGGCTATGCGGCTCCTAAGGGCAGATCCAGCTTTCTAATTAGAAGCCGCTAGCTGCTGGCTAGGGCCCTGTGAGTGCTCTCCTATGTCTGAGGTAATGGCGCCAATGCTAGAGCGCATGCGCCTCACATACCTCATCAGTCGTTGACGTCACTGCGCCTGCGCGGCTCCACGTCTCGTCCTCAGTGCGCTTTCGCGGCAGCAGATGACAACGTCTCCGAAGCTCTTTCTGCTCCTGCATGTCCATCAGTGAATTTTGAAGCGTTGCGGCGGACCTGGGCTTGCGTGCCATAGGTTCACCATCGCTGATATATACTATGTACACACTATATTGCCAAAAGTATTGGGACACCCCTCCAAATCACTAGATTCAGGTTTTCCCATCACCTCCATGGCCACAGGTGTATATAAATCACGCACCTCGGCATGCAGACGCTTCTACAAACATTGGTGAAAGAATGGGTCGCCCTCAGGAGCTCAGTGACTACAAGCGTGGTACCGTGATAGGTTGCCACCTGTGCAATAAGTCCATCTGTGATATTTCCTTGCTACTAAATATTCCGCGGTCACCTGTTGGTGGTATTATAACAAAGTGGAAGCAACTGGGAACAACGGCAACTCAGCCAGGAAGTAGTAGGCCACGTAACATGACAGAGCCGGGTCAGCGCATGCTGAAGCGCACAGTGTGCAGAAGTCGCCAACTCTCTGCAGAGCCAATAGCTACAGACCTCCAAACTTCGTGTGGCCTTCAGATTGGCACAACAACAGTGCGTAGAGAGCTTCATGGAATGGGTCTCCATGGCCGAGCAGCTGCATCCAAGCCTTACATCACCAAGTGCAATGCAAAGCTCTTGGACTTTTGGAATCGGACCACACAACTTCAGATTTCTCTTCATCCCCGCAGGCTAAATGAGAGCAATCAATTGAGTCCCCCCCAACCCCGCTGTGAATTTCCAGTGGTGGGTATTGTGGAACTTGCGGCTGCCGAATACCTTCACAGTGATGGACTGGGGTGTCCCTTGACTTTTCACCACCTGAGGCCTACATGGTAAGGGGTGTGTGTGTTAGTGCTGGTGGTGCATGCTACGGGGAGGTGTTCTCTGCATCATCTCAGCTCTGGATCTTACCACTATCCCGTACAGTTCAATGGTTGCCGGGAACTGGGTGTGATGCATTGACACCGATACTAGTGTGCTGTTGCCGAGTATTTGGGCGAGTACTTGTAACAAGTAGCCCGATAATTTCGGTATCAGGAAGCTGGGCAGTGAGTCATTACATACTGTAATCATTACTTGATTGGCCGGTGAAGCCGGCCTCATGCTCCCTCTTCACCTGTGACAAGGGAGCATGGAGCCGGCTTCCCGACCAATCAGGAAGCCGGGCAGCGTGTAATGACTCGCTGCCTGGCTTCCTAATTGGTCGGGAAGCTGGCCAATCAGGAAGCCGGGCGCCCTGTAATGACACAGTGCCCGTCTTTCTGATTGGAAAGAAAGCCGGCTCCATGCTTTCTCGACACCTAGTGACGAGAATAATGGGGACAGATTCCCTGCTAATCAGGAAGCAGAGTGGCGACTCATTACACGGCTCCTGGCTTCCTTAATGGGACTTCCGGTATCAGTATTGGCGAGTACCAAAAAAAATAAAAATAAATCGGTACTCAATACCGAAATTCCGGTATCAGTGCATCCCTAGATGCCAGCCCCAGCGTCTCAGGTTGCCAAGAGCTAGACAGGGAGAAGTCTATGGCCCTTTCACAGTGTGCCTGCCGGCTCTTTGGGGGTGGCAGGCACACTGCAAACATTGTGCGCCGCTCTGCCTGCTCCCCCCCACCACGAGACCCAAAGAGCAGGCTGCCTCATTATAGGAACAGCCCTGGTGACGGATTCTGATTGGATGGGGTCACTGTTCGGCCAACAACTTTCCATCCGGATCCTTCACATAAAAACGATTGAAACACTGACTTTCGTCATGCCAGTTGGTGTCGATAGGGCCGCCCACAGCGCCAGTTCCCGCTGTGGGTCAGAATATGAGCAATGTACGGCGAGTTCTAGCAATAGAAGATAAGAACATTACCCCAAATCAAAGAACAAATCTCATTCTCTCTTGTGAAATTGTCAGCCTCCTCGCAGCTTCTGCTAATAAGCCATTTCCACTCCCTCCAGGTAATTTGCGTCGTTACTATAAAAAGAACGAGATTGAAGAACACAAAAATGGTTTCCTGGGGAGGTAAAATCCTTTTGTGTAATGAGCTGGGTTTTTTTTTTGTTCTTTCTTCATAATCTGCCTCCTGACAGACTTTGCCGAGCTGGAAATACATTTCAAGTTGCAATACGGATGGCGGCAATTGTCGATGCATTATGAATCAAGAGGCACGCACAGTGGGGCGAGGGTCAGGCGTTGGCGATACAAAAGGGGCTTGCGGCAGCACCACGCTGAGAAAAACAGAACAATTTCTACCCTCACATGGGTATTTTAAGCCACAGGTGAGGAAGAAAAGGAAAGGTTATTATAAATGGATACGGAAATTTCCCAACATTGGAAAGAAAAGCTGGAAGTGCACTGCTCATGTTTTATCCCATTCTTGCTGGAATGGATGAAATCCAGGCTGTGGGTGGTCCTGGCGGCACCAATCGGCTCAGCGAAACTTAATTATTCAATCGACTTTTGTCTCAAGAAGCCGGGTGGAAAAGTGTCGGCTAACAGTGAAACAGCCAATCAGATGCAGTTCCCATATTCAGTAACTGTGGCTGCTGAATACAGTAGCCTGCAGCAGAGATTCCTTCATCAATGCTGTTTAACGCGGATTTGGGAATCGACTGATTCTAAAAAGGTGTTTGGCCAGCTTTACTGAACTACTAAAAGCTCAGGAGTCTGGCAGCCAAGGTGCCTACCCCTACCCTGCTGGCAGCCAAGGTGCCCCCCGGTTTCCCCACCCTGGCAACCAA